AGGGAGTACTATATATATATATATATAGGGTTTAACACAGCTTAAGTCTGGGGATGCAATTGGGCCCTTTCGTCTCGGATCCACTAAACCCTAGAGCTGTAGAGCTGTTGCGGCTCTTCTGTCTCTGTTTCCATCCTCAACTTGCCTCCCGTAAGAACCCGGACACCGTCGCCAGCGCACATCTTGGACCTCGCCGCAGTCGGTTTGTCCCATCATCGTCGGTGGGTTCCTCATTTAATTCCTATTTTGGCGCTCTTCTCGCCTTATCTGTTATCCTTGAACCAATTATAAGCTGTTTGTGGTTTCATTTTTTTCCCCATCATTGATCAAATGTGATGTCGTCTGGGGACAATAGGATCTGAATTCCTAGACCTATTTTACTGGAATACATTTTAAACAAGACAAAATCATCAAGCTTGTGGATTGGGTCAACTGAGATCAACTCTAGTGAAACTGAACTCTACTGTCTCCGCTCAAAAAGGATCTGCATGTTATTCTTAGAAGAGCAAAAGATATTGGTGTGATGCTTTGTAGAGTTTTTGTTTACTTTATAAATGCTACTGTAGTTCAAAGAAACCAAAATATTACATTGATAACTCAAAATTTCTACTTCAATTATCATCACTGTTGTACAAAATTCTTTAATTATTACAATAGAAATATCCTCACTAATTCAAAACCTCTTTAGTAATGTCTTTCTAAGTTAAGATTCTTGAGTAATAAAGGAGAATCAGCCGAGCCATTGTAAACCTGGAATAAAAACACAAAACCATAAAATTATTATTCATTTATATAAGAATTACTATTATAAAATTATGCATTTACTTTAATAAAAATATAATTATTAACTTAAGAACAAACTAGAGTTAGTAAATCTTAACAAAAAATTATAAATTTCTATTAAGTATATGTATAGATCTTAAAATTAGTTTTGTATAAATTGTAGGATCTTGCAATACTATGTTTTGGTCGTCTGATCCAAGTTTCTTGACCTCTTTACGATCCTAGGTAGAAAAGTGAGTTGACAACCTTGGTCGCTGAGTTTTTATTAATATTAAGATAAATACTAACAGCTGATTTTGTTCATTTTGTTTCAATTTTAATTTCATTGTTTTCTATCTCATAAGTATTTTTAATTTTGTAGATGTATGCAGAAGTAACTTTTCGAAGTCTACAATGGAAATAAGGAAGCCATTTGCTTCAGTCACCATGGGCGAGGAACCGTTTAACTTTTTACGTGCATTATGTGGTAACTTCTGTGTCTTTGTACTTCTCAAATTAATTTGAATCATCATGCTTGATGGGTCATGAAGAAATGTATCGAAACAAGACCAATAAATTTTCTTTTTAGAGTACCTAGAAGTAGTATCCTAGCAAGGTAACTGAATTGCTTTTCAAAGTTCAGATATACCAAACTTTTTCTATTCAGAAATATGGTTGGGCATTATATTGCAGTGAACATCTAGACAAATAATATCATTAAACTTTTAGTGGTTTTGAAAAAATACAGGGCAGCACAGTGCAGGGAATCTCACTGTTGCCGTTTGTAGGGTGATCAGTGTATGCTGAAGCCTATTTGCCTTATCAAGGTCAAACTGATGATGCTCTACTATAATTGTTTTCGAAGCATCACATATATGTCAGCCAACAATATGTTCCTAGCTTATTAGTCTTTGGTAAAGTTGAATCTGCAAAAGTCCAAGGCCTGCAAGCTTCTGCTTTTGTTGCACGGTCAGAAATGCAGGAAGGCCCATGAGATTGAGATATTGATTACTACAATTTTTTTCTTGACTTTTTCAGTGTATTCAGAACTCAAACTAGATATTTCCCTTGCATGTTTAAAGTAATATATTTTTCTCCTCTTCAGATGGTGTTATAGCCGGAGCAACTGCTGGTGGTGTTGTTGAAACAGTTCTATATCCAATAGATACAATAAAAACCCGGCTTCAGGTAGTTACTTATGCAGAAATTGCAGTTTTTAAATGAAATAATCTATTGAGAGCTTTGAGACCTCAATTGTAAAACAACAATAAGTCAAGGGAATTGTTCTGCTAGAGGAAATGTGTTGGTTAGTTGTCTTATACACGTGTACCTTCAGACCTGACAGAACGTATACTAGCTAACTTCTCTAGTGGTTTAAGAAGTAGTTCAATACTAGTTGAAGAGGATTTCTCAACCTCTTTAAGCAAAAGATCATGCTACTGTTATACATTAATTGCATGATACTAGATTCTGGTTCTAATCTGGTTTTGGACTTCTATGAACTTTGGTGAGCCAACAGTATTTACTTCAGAACAGTCAAATGTACCTTTTTCTTGTTGTTCTCTCTATAGGCTGCTCATGGTGGGAGCAAAATTTATTGGAGAGGCCTGTATTCTGGATTGGCTGGCAACCTTGCTGGGGTCTTGCCGTGAGTACTCCATTCACTACTTGCATTAATTCTCTTATGAACCGAAAAATACACTTACCTGTCTTTAAGTTATTAAATTATCCCTTAATTATGATAAAGTAAGCTTTATCAATGTCGTAGTACTAGTTTGTTTGAAAGTAATTTTTATGATTATGGCCAGTACTCGAGGTACCGTATTATTGTCATATTGCCTATATCTTGTCATTGTTGGCTGCATAGCTAATATAAGAATAGCCTTTATCTCACCGTTATCACCATACAGGATCTGATATATCACTCCTTTCAAGACTGCTTATTGCTTTTAAGTTATTCATTATGTCACATACTTTCTGGAACTTGAGCCTTGAAGTATTTGAAGGGAGAAAAATGGTGTGCATGGTTATTGTTTCTGATTAACTTTCTTTTTGTCCTAATTGCCTAATTTATAGATCATTTACTGCCATTTCCTTTTGCATCGGAGGGCTTTTGCTCATTTGCTGTATTGATATTACTTTCTTTTTATTCAGTCAAAAGTATCCGGAAACATTTACAAATTTGATTAACAGGGCCTCTGCTATATTTGTGGGTATATATGAACCTACCAAACAAAAATTATTGAGGGTGTTTCCAGAGAATCTCAGCGCTTTTGCTCATTTGGTAAGTTAAACAATTTCCATGTCATCTTGCTGCTTACTTTTGCTAAAAGAAGTCTAGTAGAGAAACATTTTGTTGAGTTATGAAGCATAGAAGTGTGAGGATGGTGCAAAGTGTATGTTATGATTTGTGTATTCCAGTGTACCAGATATATTTTTCTCATTTGATAAGTTCATGCAAATTTCATATGATGTTTACTATTTATGTTTGCAAAAAGGGTATAGAAGGTGAACATTTCATCAGGAGCCATGAATCATAGCCATCTACATGTGTTTAACCATTATGTGAGGTCAGTACAGCACATATCAGTGGACCTGACCTTTTTTGGATAGTCTTTTGTTAAAAGATTTATGATCTGGTTGGTCCACCCTTTGGTAATGACATAAAACATCAGCCTGAGATTGGAACTTTCTAACATCTGTAGAAACAAATGCATGTGGTTGCTTAATTGGTTTGTTTCTTTTTCAAAGTTTATTTGCTGTTTCTGAATCAACTATAAGAGGAGTCGCTCTGGCCATTTTGTCAGTCAGTGTTTGTTGAGGTGGTCTACTTGAGTTTGATGTGGTTTGTGTTATGATTTATATAATAGGATGGAAGTATTAAACTTGCACTGGACCTGGTTGATGGTGACATCAAATTTCCAAATCTAACTGACGGCCTAGCCCATGTGACGCAATTAATACAAATTTGGTGCAGGTTAAGTCAGGTTGGGTTCATGATGATGGTTAATCTGCATTTGAAATTATTTGACCCACTTATATAGTCTATTGACTTAATGCAGGTTAAGTCACGTCAGGTTCATGATGATGGTTAATCTGACATTTTAAATACAAATAACTCATTAACTACAGGATCTAATCCATATCTATGACCTATACATGGCTGGAATAACTTAGCAATCTAAATAATCATGCTCGATAACATTTTAGTCTCAATTATTAATTGGGTCAGTGCACATCATTTGGGTCAAATTCCTAATTATTAACTCAATCCATTTGTTAATCAGTATAATTGTGTTGACCAGCTTTTAACACATCCAGACAGGTCCAACATTACCCTTTTACTTTAAGTTGGTTATTTTTGTGTTTTGTTGGTCAAAGTCAATTTTTTGTTCAGCATTCTGTTCCCTTTCTTACATAACAGAGATGGCTAGGCTGCCATTGTTTTTAGTTTGAATATATCATAAATAAGGTTTACTGGTGCAAGTAAATTCCATTTGACCTATGGAACAAAGTTTGACTTTAAAGGGAAAGGCAAGATAGTATACTTGTATAATTCTATAACATGTTTACATGTTTATTTGAAATTTTGTTATGATTCTTAGCTTGAGTTTGAAATAGAATGTAATTTTGCTGCCTTCCAACTAGGCTCAAGTTTTATGAAAATTATTCAATTACTTAAAGCTTGCTTTGGGTAGGAAGCAACAAATTCGGAGGGCTGATGGTTAGGCTAAGAGCAGGTCATAATGGGTATTCAGTATTTCGTGGAGCCTTCTGAAGTTCAAGTCATGCTATATGACTGACCCAATATTGATGTGGAAAAGGCTTGGATAATGGCCTTTTCTACTTCCGAACATGTAAATTTGGTGATATTTGCAGAATGATAAACAGATAGTTTTTTTGATTTCGTGCCCCTTTTTCGTAAGGGTTAGATGTGAATCTTTTAGTGGAAGAGTGTTGTGTCAACTAAGTCAGCATTGTGGGAGATCATATAAAATGCTAGAAAACTTGGTTGATTGATTCATCACATAGACAATAGATTGCTTGTTAGCTCGTTAAGTTATCTGTTTGCTTGCTGATTCTCAGGTCATTTTTGTACATCTAAATGGTATTTTTGTTGCTTTACACTATGCATAACCTGTTGTATTTTATTATGATATTAATTATGCTTAATTTGAAGTAACTTATGGTCTTGAGTTTTCTATAAAAGATTTGGTATGAATAAAGCTATCCTCTATTATCCTAGCTGACATAAGCTTCTTTTCCAATGTAAAGCTGCATTGTTGTTTTTGGTCTTTTTGATGATCATAAAACTTGTGTCTGTTGCTTGAAATAGATATGGTATAAATTTTTGTCTACTCTTAGTTGGTGCTATTTTGTTGCCTGGTGGAATCTTGTTACTTTTAATGCATATTAGGTTCTTAGGAAATGGGAAAAATCACTTAGACTGCAGGTGCTATTGGAGGAGCTGCTTCTTCTTTTATTCGTGTCCCAACAGAGGTGAGTATATTACATTCAATTGAAAATCATCATTTTCTTAAGTTTGTTCTGATTGTTAATCTTTCTAGGTAGTTAAACAAAGGATGCAGACTGGGCAATTTACCTCTGCACCAAATGCTGTTCGTCTTATTGTTGCTAAAGAAGGGTTCAGAGGTCTTTATGCTGTATGTGCTGTATAGTCTATTCATGAGTTTACCATGGCCTATTCTTGGCTACTAATGCAGTATTTATTGTTTGCTCAGATTCTAGCACTATTACTGGTTGCATTCTCTATTTCAGTAATTCTGAGGTTCCCTTTGTTGCAGGGATATAGTTCTTTTCTGTTACGGGATCTACCGTTTGATGCAATACAATTTTGTATATATGAGCAGATTCGAATTGGATATAAGATTGCGGTAAGATTCATATGAGCTCATAGTAGTTCCACTGACAAGAGATGTTCTGCATGTGCGTTTGTAGGTGATTGTTGATCTGTTTCAAATAACCTGAATTTAGAAGTATGTAGCCTTTCCTTGTAGACCATCAAGGCATCAACTTTCCTGGATGTGCTTAGCAAGGCGACCATTATTAGAAAGAAGGTTTTAACAACTAAAAAGTACGTGAAATTTTGCTTAAGTGATTGTATCATTGTTGACATGATTAGAAGGTTGTTTTATGGTACATGGACAAAATCACATAAGAATACAATTTCTTTAGGTGGATCCACATAGAAATACAATTCTATAAGAAGAGCATACAACATATTCTAGCATAAATTTGTTTGAACAACACATGGTAAAGAAACAAGTAAAAGAGCGGTAGTGCATGAATCTCCTGCGTGGGTCAATGTTATGTTAGAACACATTGCACTAAGTTTCAATTTAGGACCAAAAAGGCACAAAACCTTGAATATTTTCATCCATTTGAAAGTTATATTAATGGTCATATCTGAGAGAAACAACAAAACCTTAGCTTCACCTTGATCAATGTTTAGTTGGATTATCGTGTTTCAGTGGATTTCTTGTTTGATATTTGGTTTTTCCTTTCTCTTGCCATCATCATTAACCAATGTATATCTCTTTCATTGGCAACATAATTCTGTCTATAACCAACTGTATCATATCTAAGCAAGAAACTTTTTTGACTCAGTCCTCTATGGAGTATGTTTTTGCTACTTGCCTAGATTACTAGATCTGGGAGACTTTGTCCGTAATTATATAAGTTTCAATTTTGCAATTTGTTTTTACTTTGGTGATTGGTTAATATCGAATTCTTGCAAACAATGTGATGCAACAAAATTTTAACCTGAATGCTTCTTGTTGGTCATATATATAGAATTGATGATGGTTCTTACAAAAGGGATAAGCTTATTATACTTTTTTTGTGGCAGTTTCGACTCAAAAAACCAGAATTCATAAGACCTCTCTGTCCAAAGTACAAGCCAGGACTAAAAACTTTTGTTCTATTTTAAATCTAGTTCAGGTGTGGTTTAAGCATTTGAACATACCGGAAAACCAGGGTTTGGTTTTCAGGTGTTCTATTTTAAATCTAGTTCAGGTGTGGTTTAAGCATTTGAACATACTGGAAAACCAGGGTTTGTCAGGCCTGTTTGAAATCTAGGTCAGGATAAAAACCTTTGTCCTATTTTAAGTCCAGCTCAGGTGTGGTTTAAGCATTTGGACATACCGGGTTAAGATGACTTGTGAACATCAGATAAATTGTGTCACATCCAGGCTGATAAGGTTAGTTGTAGATTGTCTTGATGTGTTAACCTCATTTAATATCCAGTTCCAGTTTCCGATAACCATCATGCCCAAAATTGGTTCTGTTTTGTTGGTTCTACACAATGCTTGAGTTGACCTGGGTTATTGCCATCACTAAAAATAATAATTTTCTTTTAGAGGAACTTTATGAGGATGGAGAAATACTGTTACCATGCGAAATGAGAGAGCTAGTAATTAAATCTTTCCTTTTTTTCTTTGTTCATGCAGGCAAGGAGGGAGTTAAATGATCCAGAGAATGCTATAATTGGTGCTTTTGCTGGTAAACTCAAATTCTACTGGTGCTTCTTAACATCATCTCCATGCATATCTTGGGATGCAGGCTTGATCTTATAATGTCAAATATAAGTAGTTCTTTTTTGCAACTGAAAATTTGCCTGTTCTTTTGTCTGCTATGGTACCAAATATCTGCTTGTCCCTTCTATCTATGTCTGTGATGCTAGAAATGTCCCACATGAAACTTTTATTCATGAGTCAATGTGTCATAACTATGTAATATCTTGTTCTGTATTATATTTAAGTTTTTCCCTCTTTTATCATATACACACACACACAGACCTTTGCACTAAGTATTCAATCAGAAAATGTATAAATTCTTCAGCAAGAAGCTTGGGAAGGCTGTTCATTCTCCAAGCTACTAGTTTTGGTTAGATACATACTTGTGGTCAAGTTTTTCATGTTAGAATTTCTTCATCATTATTGATATCTTTTAGGTTAACTTGACATTTTGATATTATTTAAATAATTTACAATTAGGATCTACCTTGACATATTTGGAAAGTAGCTCACAGTTGTTGGCCATCTTCCAACTGTAATTGGATTGTCAAATTTTGGTAGCTATTATTGATTTCATATATCAGCTAACATGTTAGCCGAAATGGCTGAATCTACTAAAGATTCTACCATTGTTTTTCTTGTAACATTTTGGATATAGCATTTTTTTATCGTACCGTTTTGGTTCTAATTTCTTATAAACCTTTCTGGCCTTCAGGTGCAATAACTGGAGCGATAACTACACCACTTGATGTCATGAAGACGAGATTAATGGTTCAGGTAACAACATCTTCTTCAAGTCTTATTCTGAAGTGCAGGAATTGTACATGAATGATCCACTTCATCTGCCTTGGGTTGCAGGGCTCAGCAAACCAGTACAAGGGGCTACTTAATTGTGCTCAGACGATTTTGAGAGAAGAAGGTCCAGCTGCTTTCTTAAAGGTCTGGTTGTTTCTGATTGTGTTTTTCTGCCTGTATCTTTTTTATCCATCTAGAAGGTTTCATTTTATGCTATTGTCAATGATGTCTGTCTGTAGAAAAACACTAATTTCTGACCTGCCATGTGTGTAGATCCATCATATAAATTATTTTCCAAGTTTTTCACTATTGAAAAAAAAAAAGTATCTTTAGTGGAGTTGTTCAGAGGCTATAATGCTAGTAACAATCCAGTATTTTAAAATGTTCAATTCTTGTACCAACATTGTTGGACCTTATATGTTTTAGAATTATGGACTATTTTGGTAAACGAAATATGGGCTTTCAGAAAATTTAGCTAGACTGAAGTAACTTGCAGCAATGATTATGAGGGCCATATTTATATGAATGTTTTTTTCTGGAGAAATGCTTTAGTTTATAGTTTAGTGAAAACAATGCAACGACAACAGTTTGATTGCTCTCTTTATATATAATCTATGAGTTTGAACACCAACTCCAAACACATGTTTTGAACTGTTAGTGAACCTTTACGTCGTGGCCGAGGTGTCAGCACAGCTCGGTCCAATCCCAAATGCGCAAGGTTGTCCACGCGGATGCTCGGGTCGCGTCGACGTCGGGTCGGGTTAGGTCCAAGCTTCGTCTCCCGAGTGCGGTTCTCCCTCGGTAGGTTGCTGCTGCTTCGTTGCCGGTTCTTGCACAAAGGTCGAGGTCGGGAGGGGGATTTCCCGACTCGACCCCTTCGAAGCTTAAGTCAGTGTTGAGTGGAGCTAGGGGGAGCTGAGTGTCTGAAGTGCCTCTCCCTCCTGATTAAGGAGGGTTAGCTTTTATACCCGCGGGGATGAGTTGGTCGTACGGGGTCAGTTCACTGTGGTCGGCTTCTCGGGTGGCGGTCGACTTAAGCTTCTATACGAGCGCCGACCAACCTGCACGGATCGGCGCGGCGTGGTGCTGCCCCGAGCTTTCCGGGATGGCTGTACCGTGATGATGTTGTTCGTACGGAGTCAATTCACTGGGCCGGCTCCTCGGGTGGCGGCCGACTTAAGCTTCTGTACGAGCGTCGACCGACCTACACAGATCGGCGCCACGCGGCGCCGCCCCGAGCTTTCCGGGATGGTTGTACCGTGATGATGTCGTTCGTACGGAGGGGGCGGCAAGCGGCTGCCCGCCACGTGTGTGCTGCGCGCCACATCGTACTTGAGGTTCTACGTTTGCATCGTCGTGTCTGCTTGCCTGGGTCCACGGGGGCGATGCCAAAATATGCCCTATCATGAACTTACACAATGAATCATGATTGGTGCATGGGACAATCTTAAAGTAATGCTACTTGGTTACTAGCGCATGAAACAATCTTAAAGTATGCTACTTGGTTACTGTAGATTTGAACTCCGAATACAACTTTGCTCGTGGTATAGGAGCCACCTGCTATAAGATTTTGCCATATGCAGATTTTATTTGCATAAGCAAACTATAATGCTTCTTGATGAAGATCAATGTTTCGTTTACCTTTTATTGTTTTGAGCTTCTTGACAGGGTATCGGACCAAGAGTGCTATGGATTGGTATTGGCGGTTCGATCTTCTTCGGCGTTCTAGAACGGACAAAACTATTGCTTTCCCAGAGGCATTTTGATCAGGGTCAGAAATCTTAGTCTACCGTAGAACAGTGCTGCCAAGGGAAAGTTATTTCCTGAAGAACAGTGAATATAAATTTTCTTCCCTTGGAAATGAACAGTCTTGCTCGTTGCCCGAACTTTTTATCTGATCAGGTGGTGTTTGTTGAGGTTTTACTTATCAATATTCTTTTGTTTAACACTTTTGGCACCCTTATCATGCACATCAAAATCAAAATTCACAGCCTTTGCAGTGACATTCGCCAACGCCAAAACTCGATCATGTGCTGATTGACCCAAGACAGCAGTCCTTTGCAAAGGATGTGCCAAAGAAAGAGTTTAGATCGAAGATTTAATTGATTTTGCTTTCTTAATTATGTGCTAAAACTCATTGTTGATGGATCTTTTGGATGCATTTGTGTCCAAAGTAGGGTCAGTTACGTGTGTACTCTTGTCTGGACTCATTCATGTCATATCTCTTTTGGATGTTCATGTGCCTGCCTCTTCACAAAGATGCACTTGAACTAATCACTCCTATTTGCGTGAATTACTCATTTTCTTTCTTGGATTGCTTGGAGTCCGTCTAATGTGTTGAGCTGAAACTCTACAAATTGTGGATTTCTTGTTGTATGCTTATACATTATATATATATTCTTTTTAGTGTCTTTGTTTCTTAATCTTTACTTTTAGTAATTGGTCATGTCTAATGGTAAATGATCAGATTCTTATCCATGTAGTCATAACTAAACTCGAATAATGTTCATCTTCTACTCGCTTTGACAGCTAATCCGTGTATTGAAGTATTTTTTTTGAATTTAAATGTTTCTTGCATCTGAATAAATCAAATGCTCCCAAAGTTGAACCGATATTTTGTGTGGCGATGCGTGCGATTTACTTAATGAATTATCATTTCGTGAATGAACGATAAAACAAACAATTATTTGAGCATGGTATAAGAAAGGGGAGAGCGGCATATGCAAGGCTAACCCCGTTGTTGTTGGTGGAGCCATCACTTGATGTCTGGGTGTAAGTCACATCCGACGATGACAATTGCTATTAGGCCCATGTGATTATTTTTTCGTTTTTTATTATTATTATAATCGATAATGTTAAGACTAAATAAAATCAATTATTTTATTTTTATAATTATAAAAGGTTTAATATAAATTTTTAAATTACATGATCGCAATACTAAAAGATCGAGTACGGGTTGTGCTGATGGACTCTTATAACTCCAGATAGACGGTGATTGTGAGTGCTGATGATCCATTTCTGACCGTTCGATCATCAGATAGCCAACGTTCAGGGTGATCCCTTGTGGTCGAGAAGGCCGCCATCCCATTGTCTTCCGCCTTGCCCCATCGGTGATCGGTACGAAGAGCGAGGGAAGAGACAGGAGAGGCGCTTTCGCCTTTGGAAAGAGGAGAGTCGGTGGAGGAGTACGAGGATGAGCGGGAACGGGGTGAAGAAGGTGGCGGAGGTGGCCGCGAAGGCGACCAAGTCGATCGATTGGGACGGCATGGCTAAGGTCCTCGTCTCCGATGAGGCCCGTAAAGAGTTCGCTAACCTTCGCCGCTCCTTCGACGAGGTCAATCACCAACTGCAGACCAAGTTCTCCCAGGTATAGAATCCCATTCCAGTCCAAGCGATATCGGATCCAGGGTTTCGTTTTCTTTTCTTTTAGGCCTTTGATCCGCTATTTTCTTCTGTTATGGGAGTGCTTTTCTGTTTATGGTGCTCTTTGGGAGACGTTCAACTGTGTGATCTCAATGGTCGATTGATTGGACGATGGCCTGGCTTTAGACAATCCGTCTTTTAGATCTCAATCGTAGATTAATAATAGAGTTCTCGATCTATATGATACATGAACAATGTGAAGAAAGGATACAAGAACTTGGAGACGCTGAGATCGATTCCTTCCGTTTTCTAACAACTGTTCGCGTTAGAATAAGATGCTTTTCCCTGATGAGGTTGTTATTGTTTACCTAGTATCTTAAATGCTGTATCCACCTTTCTTTGTGCTTATACCTTTTCTAGGGTAAATCCTTTGAAATTTCATGAGGATGTTCCTTGTATATGTTTGTTTCATTATTTGCTAATGAAGACTGCTGATGCTATGTGTAGTGTCAATCAAGAGTGTCCTGTTTGTCTTACTTATATGTGAGAGATCTTCATTTTGAAAGGATGATCTCTTTTCTTTCAACATACTTTTAAAACTAAACAGTTGACATTCTTCTATTTTTCTTTTTTCTTTTTTTTTGTATAAGTGTGTGCTATGGTCACTGCTTAAATACTTATTTGAAAAACAATTGGTGAAAACAGCATGGAGGATTGAAAAGGTATGCTGCAATGATTAATACATCTAATGATAGTGGAACAGGATAGAGAGTTTACCATCATAAGCATCTTAATGTATGGGAAATTGGTATGCGGAGTGGGGTGGAATGTCCGTCAGCGTCCAAAATTAAGTGAATTCTCTGGATATTTTAGGTATTTCAAACATGTTAAAAATGCTGTTCAATACCAGAGAAAACCCAATCACTTGTTGAACGTATGTTTCTTTTCTAGGTTTTTGTGTTTTAACTTATGGAAATAAACATCTGTATAATTTTTTTTCCTTTTCTAGTAGAATACATTAATGGACAATTAGGTCTGATTTCATCCAAGAGAAAATGAAAACAAAATGATTCAATATTATCTAGATATGGCCAAACGAGTTCTCTACAGACATGCATAGCTGACTACATAACAGAGGCATATGCTGATTACAGCCCTGTTAAGGAGTGGATGCAACCTAGAAGGGACTGCATAGTGCAGCCTGCCTTAGACTTCACCATGCCAGTCAAGTGGGGCCGAGGTGTGTGACATCGGTCCTCTTTTTGACTAGCATAGTAGTTTGACTAATTTGGAAGGCTTAGAAGAATTATTCCAACATCATTACCATCTCAGGACAAGTTTACCATTCAATTTCAACAATTAGTGCTTTCCCTACCTGTGTTGGGAGTGGACCAGAGACCCAAGACCTACTCTATAGTGAACTTAGGATGATATGTGACAATCATTTTCTTGTTAGTTCTTTAAGGTTGTGTTGTATCAAGAAATGCACATTGGCACAAGGTTTTCCAAACCATGTGTTGTATACATGCTTGGTAACTTATATATGTTGCAAAGTGGTATCATACAATGTCACCTCTGTCATGTTCAAGATGTGTTTATGCATGTGCTGGATATTGTACATGGATACCGTGCATCATGCCAGTAGCATTTTTCTGCATCAACCACTGATAAAAGCTATGCAGTTTGCAGCATTCCTGCCTGCATTTGTTGGATATGCATGCATGAAATTTAGTTCATATTCTGTATATCATCTCTGACTTAGATTTGCATATTGTCTCTTTTTCAATATGAATATCTTCTTTTTTGTTAATTCTTCTGTTTTTATTTGAATTACGGGTTCAATGATTAATTCCTCTTGTTTACCTCTGACATAAAAATTGATGGAACAAACATATTGATGACATGTCTGGCTATAAGTTTGACTTTTTTGTCCATGTAGTGTTATTTTCATTCTGTTCTAATTCTCTAATCTTGTTAGAAACAAAATATTCTCTTTATTTTTTTAGGTGTTAATTCTTTTCTCCTTTAATGAACGTTCCCTAAGTTTTTCCTTCATAACTCGTAGGAACCTGAACCTATTGACTGGGAATATTACCGAAAAGGAATTGGGTCGCGCTTGGTGGATATGTACAAACAGGCTTATGAAAGTAAGGTCCATATCCTGATAGCCTTTGATGGATGCTTGAAATATTTTGTTGTAATTTTCTTGAATGGAGGTTTTCTTATGTCATTATATAAAAGAAATAGGCTCTGAGAAATGCCCGAGTCGTGTCTATCAAGTTGTGACCAAATTGAGAAATATGTTCCATTTCTGTAAGACACTGTTATTAACTCCATTTTTCAGTGAAAAGTCCGGTTGCAGAAGTAACACAGCGTATCTTCCTTAGCTTATTTGTGGTGAATTTGTATTGGATAGAATAAATACTGAATGTATTAAGAACACAGTGATCATCAATTAAATTCTGATCCAATAAGACTGTTGAAGCCAGTTCTTGTATTACTGGAGTGATGGGGTTGAGTATTTTGGCTTCCACAAAGATATAACATCTAATTGAGGGTTAAAGGCAATATTGTGGATACAATAGAACAAAGTTTCTTGTATGGCTTAGTGATAGCTTCCCCATTTTTTATTTGGTCCTTCTTACTAAGATTGAAGGACTGTCTCTGATTACTAACACTGGAAAGGTTCATTCTAAACAAGTTTCTTTTATTTTTGGCAAGGACATTCAATTTTTTTTTATTTTTGAGTTGAATATCTCATTCTATTTTTATAAACTGTGCAAATAATTATCTGTATCTGGTTGACTTAAGATAAGATCAACTTTTCTCAGTATGATTTTTAGCAACACTATATTATGCTACAAGTAAATACAGTCTGATGTGAGTCATCTTCTCATGTTTGGACTTGCTGCAGCTGTGAATGAGGTCTGAGAAAATTCCTTTTTACAGTTCTCTTCTGCAACCTTCAGAGATCTACATTGCCAAATATTCATGTGCCTGAACTCCATTTCCTCCTTTCCCACCAAGTTTTATCTTACACAAGCTTCATATGTATTGGGAATTAAAAAGTTTGGCCATTTTTGAACTTCAATCGTAAAGCTGATGAGTGTGACAGTTTATATGAGAATACATTGGGTTGATGATCTGAATCCAGCACTTATTTTGATGGAAGCATGTTGATTAAATATGTAGATGCTTATTCTCTCATATATTTTATGCTGAGTGACTTAGTGTTATTCATTTGCAGGTGTAGAAATCCCCAAGTATGTTGACACTGTGACTCCAGAATACAAACCCAAATTTGATGCCCTGGTGAGAGATCTCACTTCTTTGATACCTATCTTTTTCTGTTCCACATCCTGGTGAGAATTCTTGGGTCGAATCATGAAGAATGCTGTGGTACAAGAAACACCCTTGATTACTGTTCATTTTTATCTATGCTGTTCTTCGTCGGCAGCTGGTTGAGTTAAAAGAAGCAGAAAAGAAATCTTTGGCGGAATCAGCACGGCTGGAGAAAGAAATAGCTGAAATTCAGGAGATGAAGGTGAGGAAGCAGCATTTCCCAATGATGGCCACTGCCACAATTTAGTTACTGCTTCATAGCCATTGTCATTTTTGTTGGTTCTGAAAGAGTCTTGTTTTGTTTGCAGCAAAAAATAAGCACAATGACAGCGGATGAATATTTTGAGAGCCATCCCGAGGTGAAGCAGAAGTTTGATGATGAGATTCGAAATGATTACTGGGGATATTGAGTATCCGGCATCTTTCTTTCAGTGACTGGGCACGTCTTGGGATTTCTAATAAATCTATCTGTCCTCAGTTTCCCTGTACATTGGAAAGGTACCAATTTGAGCAGGTGATTTGCCAAACTGTCATCGATGTTGTGCTTCATCGTTCTGTTTAATTTTTGCCCTTGTTTCTTTTCCTTACTATTAGCCAATAACCTTGTTCTGTGGCTCTCTTTAGACAAACGAGATCTACATGCAAGCAGTTTTTTATGCACCGATCAACCAAATTTCCCATGATTCACTGTCATTTCCAGTTCCATATCCATAATTTTTTATTACCTTCGGATATGTCTATCGGGAGCTTGACAATTGCTTGCATGTCGGCCTTTCATAGTTTTCTTTCTTAGTCGACGATAACTGTGATGAATAGAATTCCGACGAGCCCCCTATCTTTCCTTTTTCATGTCATGTCGGAATTGATGTGGCAGCGGGGGAAGTGTAAGGAGCTTTGATGATCCTAGCTTTGGGTCAAGCGATCCGCTTAATGGCTCGGTAGCGAGGCGATTGCCTACCTTTGTCATAGATGTCGCAACAGGCATCAACGAGGGTCCTAAGGTAGAGGAATTCAAATGACAATTGTGGAATAGGATAGCTTGGGGGCATCGTTGTCGGAGTCGACGGTGAAGAGGCGATCAGAGTTGGAGCGAGCGTCGTCCTTGTCGGAGTACTATCCGCGAAGAAGATGTTAACGACGTTGATGAAGGAAGAGCACGAAGGCGGCAGCAAGGTTACCAAGGGTGAGGAGAGCAGTGGTGATGCAATTGTTGAGCAACGAAAAGGCCATTTCGTTGCTCGGCAACTGCGTCGGAGTCGACGGTGAAGAGGCGATCAGAGTTGGAGCGAGCGTCGTCCTTGTCGGAGTACTATCCGCGAAGAAGATGTTAACGACGTTGACGAAGGAAGAGCACAAAGGCGGCAGCAAGGTTACCAAGGGTGAGGAGGGCAGTGGTGATGCAATTGTCGAGCAACGAAAAGGTCATTTCGTTGCTCGGCAACTGCGTCGCTGCCATGCTCGCCATCGCCTTCGCACTCTTCCTTCATCAATGTCGTCGGTGTCTTCTCTACGGGCATTACTTCGATAAGGTCGACACTCGCTCTGACTCTAATCGTCTCTTCCCCGCCTACTCTGTCGTGTCAGATGGTGGCACCCCCAAGCTGTCTCCTTTCGCAGTTGTGTCATCTGAATTCCTCTACCTCAGGACCCTCGTTAACGCTTGCTGCGATGTTTACGACGAAGATGGTGGTCATTGACCTATTGGGTGGATTGCTCGACCCGAAGTTAGGGTCGTCGGAGCTCCTATTGCTCCCCTCGTTACCACATCATTTCCGACATGGGCATGAAAAAGAGAAGAATGGGAGACTTGTCGTAGGAGGAGTTCTATTCGTCGCAGTTGTCGTCGTCCGAGAAGGGAAGCCCTGGAAAGCAAGCGGTTTTCAAACTCTCGATGAATGTATCCAACGACAGTAGAAAAATATGGGTCTTGGAATTCAACGTTGAGTATGCCATCGTACCCGTCATCGACGTAGTTGACGAACGACCCTCACCTCTTGCCATCGCTCTTCTCATCACAATTGTCACCTGCGGTCCCTAGTGCCATTGTCGTTCACCATCGCTAATGTCGTCCATCACCATCAAGTTCAAATTATTTTTTATCTTTTATTTTCATGTTTTTTTTGGTAAAATCAATAGGTAAGTGAATATAGATATTTTTATTTTCGTAATTATAAGGATATTAATATATATTTTTTTTTGAAATATAAGGACTTAGAGGTTAAAGATAATTAATTAGAAATGACAATGGATTCGAATCTGAATCTATCCCTATTTTGAACCATCAAATACCGGATTCAAAGACAGAAAGGTAACACTCCCAAGTACAGAGTGCACAGCAGCAAGAGATGGAAGTGCACGTGACTTAAATTAGCTGAATCATAGCCGGTTCCTGGCAGACCAACAGGCAACCTTACACCCCAAATTTGACCCTATGTTGTTTTCTTGAGTTGGCAAACGACCTTTCCCATGACATGCATCCAAGTCAGAACCAGCCCCAGTTTGATACAATTTTCCAGTTAAAAGAGTACATCCAAACATCGATGTAAAAAGCTCGGCTCACGGGTTCCTCTGTTCCGAAATCGATGTCGACAGAAACTTCTAGAAGCGGGTCTGGTCTCGAAGTAAATTGATGGGCTATTTTTGCTCCAATCGGAGCAAGACAAGACGAGTCGTCACTCCACTTTGGAAGACTGGCCATATAAAACTCCGGTGGGTGGTCAGTGATCTAATCCGGTGGCGTTATGTCCAATGCTATTACCTCAATCGGCGAGGCAGATAAGAAGAGTCGTCGCCGACCTCCTCTCTACTTAATTATTTCTCGTGCTCGGAGTGCCCGTTGACATTGAGCATCCCCGTCAAAAAGGAATCAAAAGTCAGCAGTGGAGGATGAAACGTGCCACCAACGCGCTTTTTACCCTGTTGACTTTGGCTAATGCTTTACCTTTGGAAAGCACTGAGCTACTCTAAAACTCTATTATGTAGACATTGGGCGACTTTTTATGGAATAATTTCAGATTTGTGGCTCTTTTTTTAAAAGGAAAATGATCAAAATATCCTCCGATAAATGGGTTAAACAACATCATATGAATATAATGGATTCATAGTGCCTTTGATTATTGAACCAAAACATCATAACTAAGCAATGTCCCTCTTTATTATTATTATTATTATTATTTCATAATAAATAAACCTAATATTATAAGATTTTCATAAAATATTGATATATAAGTTTAAGCTTAAACGATAAGAATTAGATTTTTTTTTGTCATCTATTATTTTGAAATATGTAGAACTTTTATAATTGCTATTTGAAACTACCCAGACTCCCATACAAATTATTTTACAATTGATAATTAAAATTTGTAGGGATTTGAAGGATATTTTATTATGAAAATGGAGCTTAATTCAAGAAAACTCATAGATCACGAGGCTTTTCCTGAAACATCGCCCATACCTAATAATAGATCATGCCCTCTCATCTAAAAGCCATACCATTTGGACGCATCCGAAACCCCCCTATCCGATCACGCGTCCTCCGTCCTATCCGATGACACGATCACGAGCTCGTGACCGAGATATAATACTCGCACCAGGTCGAGCCACGTCATCCATCCCTCTCCCGTCTCCCCTTCCTCTCCCACCGCCTCGCGTCCGTCCCATTCCACAAATATCTCGTCCCAGCCGGTCGCGCACACCGTCATCAAACGGGGGATCTTTTTTCTTAGTTGCGAACGCGATGTTTAATCTATCGTTAATTCTCCGATCAGGAAGATCGCGTTCGACCACTACAGGATTACTTACGCTGGGAAGGGACTCCGACGGCAGAGAAGGTGGACACGTAGCAGCAAGCTTTAGGAATTCTAGTAGATTAAAAGATGGGTTAGGCACGGCGAATTCATGACGCCCGCCGCCCATCGCTGCTGTTGACGGAAAATTACAGCCCTCCCACTACCACCGGCCAATTGCGTAAAGCCGCGCCGCCTGTAGTCCCTCCGTCGTCCACCTGTTCGCTCTCACCACCACGACCCCTTGTTTCTCATCCTCGCGGGTCCCACAGCCGCGCCGCCACCGTTTAGGTGGGTCCGGATAAGCGTGCGTGGCACGGGCATTACCACCATCATCATCACGGAGGTGGGACCCACCCCGGGGAGCGAGAAATATCAATGCCACGTCGGACCGTGAGGGCGAAGCCCGGCCTCCAGAGCGGCCACGCCGGGATCGCCCACGAATCTTTTACTGCCCCCTCCCTCGCCCACCCGACCTCATCTCCCGTAATATAAAGGAGATTTATATATTACTTTAATATAGAATAAAAACCCACTTCCCCATCTCTATCTCTAAGAAAAAATCTTTTCCTCCCTCTCCACGCGACGCCTGACCATCGTTTCCTCGCCTCCGAGACAGAGCGGGAGCTCCCGGAACACTAGCTTTGGATCGAGGGAGCCGTCGAGGTGCAGGTTATTCTTCCTTTTTTTCCCCCTTCCTTGTATTAGCTGTCGGTTTCTCGAATTCTTTTCTTGAATCTTGTGGGTTTCTCGTTATTTCTTTTTGGTGTGCGTGTTTCGTTTCTGGAATTTTTCTTGGGCGGAGGAGGAGGAGCGAATTTGTTTATTCTTGCGTCTATTTGTCCAATTTTTGTGTGGATAAGTTTACTTTTCTTGTTCTTATTGTTGTTTCTTGTGCAGGAATTTGGTGGTCGATGTGCTTTGAAATCGGTTGAGATGATGTTTATTAGGGTGTTGGAGGGATTGGATCCCATGTCTGGGGTTTGAAGATTTGACGATTTCGGTGATGTGTGTTGTTTGTTTAAGTTGAGTCCGCCATCGGCTTTGGGTACTCGGCCGATGCGGAGACTAGGTTTCGTTGGTGGCGATGGGGAAGGGTGTTGATGACTTGGTCTCTGTGGTGGTAACGGGCGAACTGCTTCTTGGTAGGGGGAAAGGAAACTCCGACGCTTGTTATGGTTCTTGGTTTGTTCGATGTTTGTGAGGGAGGAAGCAGAACAGCAGGTTTTAGCTTAGAATGGCTGTGTCAAATGAAAAGTGGATTGACGGGCTCCAGTTCTCATCCCTCTTCTGGCCACCACCCCAAGATGAGACGCAAAGGCAGGTAGGGAACGAAATTCTTCGTTCTTGCTGGCGCTTGACTTGTTGTTTATTTATCACCAACTGATTTCATTCATGTTTCTATCTAGCTCTTAATAATTTTTCTGGGATCATATAATTACTGCATTGTTCACATATTCGATATGGTTTGATAAATAAACAACTCGGTTGACTGTTTACAATTTAGATTATGAAAATTATGTCAACATTTTGTTACTACAATTTTCCTATAATTGATATGGTTTGATAAATAAATACCATTTCATGGTGGTTAATTTTGTACATTTTAGGCTATGTAAATTATCTTAAACATTTTATTGAGATAAAGACTTGCATATTCTGAACATCTCAAATAAAATGACAGTTGTTGCACCAACAGTTACTCCAAAAACAAAAGAGAATAAAATAAGTCTGCCCTTCATATAGATAGTTCACATATGTAAGCATAAACACTGTTCAATATTTTCCTTAACAATGAGAGAGAGTTTTGTTAACATAATTCTCTAAAGGGAGTATCAGCTTAACTAGTGAATGATGAAGAATTAATAAAAATATGCTTTAAATTAAATCCTTTTAAGGAGATGGGATTGCCTAACTAATGAATCTTGTCATACGAGGGACTTGCAGATTATGTCACTCAGATATAAGTAGGGAAGGCAGTTAAAAGTTGGCGAATGTTGTGAAAATGAATAATGATGATCATTTTCATTTGGAAAATGATAAATGCTCATAGATGCCCATATAAATTACATGTTTGGATAATGAGAGCAAGTCCAGTTTCCTTGTGCTTGACGTTCATTGTTTTTAATAGTTGTCCATCTGGGGTTCACTATTATCTCTTAATCTCAACTGTATCAACTTATATGAAATATGTTATGGCAACATATCTTTGTTGGACATATTAATTTGTAGTTCTAAAGTTCAGGTAAGTATGATGATCATGATAATAATTTATTGGAGAAGAGTAAAATAATGTATATATATATGTGTATATATATACACACACACACATATATACACACATATACATACATATATATATATATATATACATATATATATATATACATATATATATATATACATATATATACATATATATACATATACATATACATATATATATATATATACATATATACATATACATATACATATACATATACACATATATACATATACATATACATATATATACATATATATATATATATATACATATATATATACAGATGTATGTATGTATGTATGTATTTATATATCTTAAACTTTTAGTGTTCTATTACTTTTAATTTGTTGATCTAAGAGGGTATCCACATCCACCTCTTTCCACCATCAACTATCTCCTATCTCTATATTTTGTCATTTGTACCTAACGGTCCAAGAAAAACGAACTGCTAATTTGAGGTTGCTGATGATGGATGATGTGTTGGATTGATTAATAAGGTGGTGGAAGAGGGTAAATGGTAATTTGGAGCTCACAAGTGGGTTCAAGTTTGAAACAAGATGAGCTTTGCAATTGACAAAGATTCTGTTCTCGTAGTTCTGATATTGTCCTCAAGTTCAATGATTATGAAGTTGCGTACATCCATGGGCACCAGCTACATGGAAGATCAGGTGGGAAGGAAGTTCATGCACATTGTTGTGGATATGAGAAAAGGAAAAGGTCTAGATTCATTAAAGATGGAGACATCAATGTAAGAGCAGCTGTATGTCAATATGCCAGTAGGGTGGAGATGGCCTTACAGATTGCACTAGAGTTCTGCGCATGGTTGGCAGAAGCTGCTTGAAATTATCATGAACAAGGAAGAATCCAAATCTTGATACTGGTACTTCTATTGAACTCATACTGCACTAGCACTCTAATGCCATATCAATTGGTGCAAATAAAACATGAAACATTGAATCCTAAGCAATAATTTGTCTAGGGGACTCATATAGCTGAAACTGACAGATTCCTTTAAGAACTACACTTGTTTGACCCTGGTTATTTTGAGCTTACCCCAGAAAATGGGGCTTTAAACATGTTTAAGAACTTCCTGAGTCTTGGTGAGCTTATCCATGTGCAATTTTTGAGTGTGAGTGAGCTAAACTCTCTTAAATGTTTTTCCAGAAAATGGCTATGGACTTGAATTCTAATATGCAAATTAGCATAATTAGGATTGCACCAATCACACGAGCTTGGATGCTACCTAAATATCAGCTGTTCATCGTAAGCGTGAGCCAATTGTTAGTCCTAAGTTAGGTCATAGTACATTCCAAAACTAAGCAATCTGGTGGCATCAGAATCTTTTTTTAAGCAGATATTACTATATTGGAGCACTTGTTATAGACCAACTAATTTATCAGTTTCATGCTTCAACTTATCTTGATGTCTATCAAAATGTAACATGCTTTTCACTTTTCCTTAAGGCACAAGTTTTGGCCTATGTTGAATACTTCAGCCAATTCACCTCAGAGGAATTCCCAGAAGATATAGCTCAGGTATGAACATATAATCTGTGTATCATGTTTTAGGGATCCATTTTTCGAAGCCAAAGGTTACTATCTTGTTGTCAATTTGGATTAGCTTTAATTTGGCTATATTTTTGCATGAACATAGTACAACAACAACAAAGCCGTAATGTTCCAACTATTTGGGGTCCCCATGTGTATCTATATAAAAATTCATCTCCTTAGTTAAATTAAAAGTATTTGAATATTTATTTATAGTTTCTAGTTATGTATTTTTAGGCCTCTATATCTTCTTGTACTACTAATAATAAAATAATTCTTTTGCCTTTCCCAAGTATAGTATTCATAGGTCTCCTTAGCACTTGGCATAAATGCTTAAAAAACTTACTCTTGTTTCTTGGATTTGTTTCTGCAGCTAATCCAAAGTCATTATCCCTCTAAAGAAAAGCGCCTTCTGGATGAAGTTCTGGGTATTGGAAATGCACTGCTGCCAGTTTTAAGTTGTAAAATAGCATAATGAAGTTGTTGACTGTTGTTTCTTCTTAATTTACAGCTCTATTTATTCTACATCATCCGGAGCATGGCCATGCAATTGTCCATCCTATTCTGTCACTAATAATTGATGGGACATTGGTGTATAATAGAAACAACCCGCCATTTAGTTCTTTCATATCCTTAGTCAGCCAAAATTCAGAGGTATGGGACTTTGAAAAAGAAAAAGTGTAGGTCTGTCTGAACTGTCAGATGTTTTACATATTGACACTTATTTTAACTTCATACTGTACCACTAATTTTAAATCATAAACTCCTTTATCCAGTTCACAATTTTTAGCAATTAATATGTTTGGACAATTGATGACTGCAGAAACAGTGTTCTGAGCAATGGGCTTTGGCATGTGGTGAAATTTTACGCATATTGACCCACTACAATCGGCCAATTTTCAAGGCTGAGTGTCATAATACTGGAACTGAGAGGAGCAATAGTTGTAACCATGCAACGACAAGCAAGTCTGAGAAACAAGAAGCTAACAATCCAATTCTACAGGAACATGATAGGAAACCACTACGACCATTATCTCCTTGGATTACAGACATATTGCTTGCTTCACCATTGGGCATTAGAAGTGATTATTTTAGATGGTACATAACAAACTTTCCTTTTTTCCATAAAGTTTGTTCATTCTAAAATTAGCTGTTAGAACTGCAGATTTAGTGAACGTCAAATTTACTCCAAGTCCTAAATTGGATTCTTCACTTGATATGTAGATCATGTGCTTCAGAAATCCTGCAAAGCATAGAATTTCTCTTATTTTATTTATCTTGTTACTTCTGCATGAAGCATGGACTTTATTTCTGGCACATTGTCGTCTCAAGTGACAGTTCTTCAGTTTGGTTTGGAAAGAAGCATTCAATGTACATGACAAATGTATATCTATTAATGGTTCTAGACTTCTAGGGCTTTGGGTTTAGTATCTGGGTAGACCTCTTCTAAATATAGATTATGGATGAAAGGAAGCATGTGAAAATCAAGGATAGCATGTGACTTACCCCTTACCCCGCTGGCCTGTTGTGCCAGTATAAAATCATATGGGGGCATGACAGAGTGCATGGTTGTGACTGTTGCACACATCCCATGTCACCCAAGCCAGCTGGCATGTAGATGCCAACACATTACCAGTGCAAGGGAATGACTATGAAACTGATATTCTGGTGCTGAGCATGGTAATATGTATAGGCTGTAAGAAATGCTAAGTGCATAGATTTTTGTAAACAGTGCCTAAATGCAGATAGAGTAGCCTGATGAGTTAGTAGTGAAGTCATAGTGATGAACTTAACAAGTGATTTTGTGGATCTTCCATTGCCACAACGAAAGCCTCAAATGGGCAAATTTTGCACTGCATGACCAAAGTTGCTACGTGCTAGGTGCACAAATTCAGTTGTGAATATGTTCCCATGATCAGATATAAGTATGATAACTTCCTAGTGATACAATGACAATGCTGTTTGTGAATAACTTTTCTGAGCAACTTATTGGAGTTTGTGGTTCCTGATGGCATGCATATATAATTTTGACCAGTATTATATCATCATATGGACTGTAGTGTCCACTAGTAATATTCTTGCCTAGAGTCTAAGGGCCAATTAAATATGTTCTATATATATTCTTGTTCAATGATATATATTAACTAATGAACATAATAATTGAGATTGTGTTTGTTGATTCATTCAATGCAAATGTGACCCAAGGTCAACCTGATCTAGAATAGTAGTTGAACAATTTTGGGCTACCTGTGCCCTTTCGTAGCTTCACTGGTATATTTAGCATGTTATATGAACAAATATTTCATGGTACTTGTTTATATTTCTTGTTGTCATTGCAGACCATCTGAATTTGTTTTCGAATACATGTGTAGAACTTTGGAAAATTCACTACTTTGTATCTCATACATGTATATTTATAAACATTGCTCATTTCAGTGCAATATAGCTTCTGTTATCATCTATGGGGTTTGATTTTATGTATTATGTACTGCTTATTTTCCTTGCAAGTTTTAATTATCTTATCAATGTAAAATAGATGTCTTTGCTATTATTATACTTTCATTTAAGTTCTCCATTTATTTGCCACCTAACATATAATATAGGTCTTTTTTTTTCTTTTGCAAATTGAATTAGTTTGGGTCAAAATTGTCTTAGATTTTCTAGTCTTTTGATCTCATGATTCAAATAATTTCTCCACTCCTGCACAATAGTTACTGTGAATCATCCAACTAATGGACTTAGGATATGGCATTGCTGTATGGGGCAATTGTAGGCTGCCTACAATAGCAAATTCTCATTTTAATAAAGAAAATTATTGTAATATAACATGATTTGTGTCTGTTCAATGGTTTAAAGAATGAAATTTTATTTAGGCTTTCGTATCTCATTTCTTTTTTATGCTGTGTTGACAAATATATGCATCGTCCTAACTACTCAGATAGCATCACCAATAACAATTACTTGTAAGTTCTAATTTGTATATGTTACTGGAAGGGCATTTTCATGATCTATTTAATTATGATAATACTCATTGAGATTATTAAACCATATATTTTTTATTTAGGTGTGGTGGGGTCATGGGCAAATATGCAGCTGGCGGAGAACTAAAACCTCCAACAACTGGTTTGTAAAGTTTTACATACATGATTCATTTTGATAAGATATTGGCTTCAATTGCGTTTTTGCATTCATTTTCTTATCTTATCTATTTCTCTCAGATTACTTAATGTTATCTTCGATTCAATTTGGCACAGTAAACATTTAATCATTTATAGCTTAATACTTTAATGAATGAGAGGTTAGAATTGTTATTTTTAAGATCATTACATCCAATGCTTAAAACCATGTGGATGTGATTTGAGGTGCTCGAGACCAAGGTTTGTAATACTGTTTGATACTGGTGATATTTACTGGTCCAACAGCTTACCGGTACATGGACTATGGTAAACTGGATGGTATACTGGTTCAAGGCTTGTACCGCCCAATATAGGACAGTATAGGTCCTATACCAGACAGTTATTTTTTTTTTGTTTTTTAATCTTTTTTCAGTCTTTTTTCTAAAACTCAGTTTATATGTCCCAGCACTTTTTATACCGTTAAGATATCAGTCTGAGACCTGACCAGTATAGAACCAGTATATGAAATTATGAACCTTGCTTGAGACATTGATTCACCTGCAATGGATGTGATGTGCCCCATATACCGTCATATCTTACAGGTAATTTACTTCTGAATAACTTTTCTGTCTTTGGCAGTGCATCATGATATTGATTTCTTTTTTTAGCATAGAGAAATTAAGATTCCATGCTCACTTGACTACCTTTGATCACTCATGTGAGGGTTCATTTCATAATGAACTCCAATATGTATACACTGTGGGACTTTTTGGGTAATTTTTTATATATAAATCTACTTGATCACCAGGATTTACCACTATAGATGTGGGAAGCACTTAGGTTTTCATGCAATTCATCCTAAAACCAACTTGGCCAAGCCTTGTTAAAGCTAAGTCGGCCCTGTTGGGCCTATCCAAGCATTGTAAAGCTCTGAACAGCTAATGTTGACTCTGATTTAGAGCATGACAAAATGGAGATGATTTTGGAAGGTTTTCGTAATTTTTTTAACCTGAGAAAGACTTTTAAAATTAATAGAAAATTGGACAAAGAACACATTTCTATTTTCTAGTTATTTTTAGACTAATTTTCATCATTAATTTGGTAGCTATTTTGGTGACCCAAAGAGATGGCATATAGATGGTGTAGAGCTTTACTTATGCCTCCAAGAGGGAAAAGGCATGGGGAAAGTATTTGATGACTTTGGCAAATAAGGGAGAACCTGGCTGAGCTTGTTTGATAGGATATCCTAAGGTCGCTTCCTTCCTACCAACATGGATTTCAATGTTAAAGGATGACCTTTTGTTCTCCATTTGTTGAATTAGAGGGATCATATTGCTTTTAAGAGCATACTTGATCTGTATAGGGATCAGGTTCGATAATCTATCGACTCAATACCACATTTCGGATAGAAGTTTTGGCGGAGGAGAGAACTATCACAGGAAGATCAAGCGTAAAACTAAAAGAAAATAACTCTATTGCTTGTAAAGCTAAAGTGCTAACTATAAGGTTGAAAGCAATAAAATTAAAGTGTGTCATGCGACTAATAGGTGTGTAGGGCTCTAGTTGTCTTTAGACAGCACCTGGGTGCTCTCGGCAGATTGTGTATCGCCGTTGGTTTTCGATCTCCTCCTTTCTTGTTGTTGAAACTTTCCTCTGAGGTTTGGATAGTAGGCAGTAGGCTTTGGCGGCTTCTTACAATAGCTGGATGAAGCTTTAATGTAGTGTTTTGACTACTGGAACTTGAGGAAGAAGTGGCTGTGGCTGGAGGGCAAAACCTTTTTTGAACTCCTCATTTTTTGGCTCTCGACACAAGCTAGAACTAAGGCCGATTGTAGATTTCTTGGCTGTCTTTTGGTTCTTCTTCTTCTTGCTCCTACCAAAGGCTTCTTTTGAAGCTATTAAGGTTGGCAGCAAGTTGGAAAAGATCTTTGTAGTAAAATGATGACAGGCAGGAAGAAGGGTTGCTGAACTTGCAAACCGCTCCTCTCTTCTCAGCCTAGGGCCGACTGACTTCTCAAGAGGGGGCACGACTTTGATGCTTTGGGGATGCTTTAGATGGATCACTCCTCCTTTTATAGTTTAAGGTATGGGTGAAGTCCTAGCTAGGTTAGGACTTGGAGAGTCCTGATGCCTTTATGACTTGAATAGTCCTGATACATTTAGGACTTGGAAAGTCCTAATGCTGTTAGGATTTGTTTAGGGGAATTCTTACTCCCATTAGCAGTTGGTGCCACCCTCTCCTTGTGGTTGCTCTCATTTGGGTGAGGGCTTCCCTAATCCTAGTCCTACTAGGATTGGGACTGAGGTGAGTGGGTTGCCATGATATGGACTTTGCATGCCCAAATAGGGCTTTGAGGCTTCAAGAGGCCTTTGGATAGGAGTTGGCCAAACTTGTTGAGTGCTCTTGAGATCGTCCTTGATTAATAGTAATATATTCGGGTGGTCTGTACTATAAGATTGCACTTTTACCAGGTGGAACATCATATAATGTTGTAATATGCCATAGATATTGCTATTTTACCATGTACTATGATGTCTACCACCAACAAATGCTCTGAGAACAATATTGTTCATATGTTTTGAACACGTAAATATTGACCATCAGCCATAGGCAGCTCTTCACCAAGTATGACCCGTCATCTTGCTATTATGAGTAGGCCAATAAGAAAGGTACATTTGCATTTTCAGCTATGATTATAATATGAATATATGCCTCTGATTGAAGCTTTCTTGTAGGATAATTTCTAGTGTTTTAAAAAGTTTAATTATACTTTTTAATAAAAGGTCACAAAATATAAAAAAGAGTGGAAATGATTCTTCAATACATAAAAAGGGGAAGGATGTCTGATTGGTAATGACAGACATTGACCCGTATTGACACTTGATATGGCTCCAATGTTGGTACTGTATCGGTCAAAGCCAGCCATGCCAAAATTGGTATCAGTATCTGACCGGTATTTTCAAACACTGATTGCCTCGCAATTTCTCTGATAAGCAGTTTTTCATTCTTAATAATTACGTGATGACGCAATTCGACCTTTGCAATATGCAGATTATAAAGCTCCAAGTTAGTTCTGAAAGGAAAAACATATGTCATGTTGTTGTTTTTTTTTCTCTTCAAGTTTCATCCAATTCCTTGTGGATTTTTTACTACAAAATTAATGGCTAATACTTATTCATATGCTCGACATGGTTATTGCAAATCATGATTCCATGATTCCAGTGCACTTGTTTTTCCATTTCCTATGTGATGGTTGCCTTAATTATGCTAGAAGCTTATTTTTCTTTCTTCTAAGTATTCTTGGAGATTCAATTTCTTAAATCAAAGATTGATTAACTTCTTTCACATAAAATATATTTTGTATGAAACATGTTTAGAAATTTAGAGCTTTACAGTTATTTCATGTTTCTACTATGCTATTGTAGAAGCCATTTCCTTCCACTTTTCAGTAGGTAAGTCCATGAATCTTATTTTTCTTTTTCATGACTCCAGGAACTTCATATTTCTTTTTCTTAATTCCACGAACTTCATTTTCCTTTTTTCTTAACTATCTTTTGCATGGGCAGACTTAGCAATAACCAGTAACCATTTTTACATTTGTAGCATGTAGTCATGGATCTGGAAAACATCCTCTACTTATGCCATCAACTCCTCGATGGGCTGTTGCCAATGGAGCCGGAGTTATATTGAGTGTTTGTGATGAGGAAGTAGCTCATTATGAAACTGCAAATTTGACAGCAGCAGCTGTGCCTGCACTTTTACTCCCTCCTCCTACGACCCCCTTGGATGAGCATCTTGTTGCTGGACTGCCTCCTCTTGAACCTTATGCTCGTTTGTTTCATAGGTGGATATCTATATCATTTACCAACTTTGACATTTCAATACTTGGATATACTGCTTGCATATGCATTTCATTTGGTCAGGTACTATGCAATTGCTACACCAAGTGCAACACAGCGGCTACTTCTTGGACTTCTTGAAGCACCTCCATCATGGGCTCCAGATGCGCTTGATGCTGCTGTACAGTTAGTCGAACTCCTTAGAGCAGCCGAGGATTATGCATCTGGCATGAGGGTATGCATAGTTATAAAAATCAAACTTTCTTGAATGAGATATTTTGCTGTTCTATTGTTCTTTCGGTTCCTTCAAGTCCCCTGCTAATCCATGACTTTGTTTGGCAATATTTTTCACTTCAAATCATGGATGTTGCACTTCTGTCATTATGGAATTTTCAGTATAGTGGATTGAAGCTACCTTATACCACTCAGGTTCTGAAATTTTAGATTTTAACTTGTTTGCATAAATTAACTGAACATGTGGCTTAATAGCTTTCCCTTTCACTTGTAAGCGACATAGCATGATATAATGCAAATGAATTCTAGTAGCATGTGTGATGGTGTACGGCAAAACATATGGCAGTAAGAATATGTTCCTGAATGTTGGTACATTTTCAAATTCAGGTCATTGCTAACTAGAGTACCCTTTGGCAGTAAACAGTGGAAGCATTTAAAATTCTTAAGCTAGTGCATAGTTCTTTTAGTTGCTCATAGGAAGATTGTGATTTTTTTTAATTTTGCAATTTGATACCAAATTGTTGAGTGTAAAATTTTATGCATTTCCCTTGACTTTGCCCCGTACATAGTTGTAGTTGCTGCATATGTTAAGCACTTATTGTAGCATCCTCAAATTTGAAAAATGTGTTTTATAGCTTTGAAACTTTAAGCTACCTTGGCATTTCATTATCACCATTTTATGCTAATTATACTTTTCCAGCTTCTTATTTTCTTTACATCCTAGTCTATTTCAACTATTTGCATCTTTATTTGGTTTTTGGTATAGTCAACAATTTTTCTTTTAATGGCAAAGCACAACAATTTTTCTTTTAATAGCAAATCACAATGTCAATATCTTCTTGGCAATCATGTTAGCACCCCATGTATACAATAGCCGTTATAGGACAACTTGGCATGGCCATCGATTTGCATGCCTGGCACAGCTGTACATGCAGTCCTATGCTGATGGACATGACAATCCTTAGGTCTGGTCTTAAAGAGGAATGTTGGATTAGTTACAAGGATGGAGTATGCTCCACTAGTCATGAAGTTGCTCAATCTGATATGTCATGATAAGCTATAAATTTTGCCAAGTCAAACTAAATGGAAGTAAGAACTGCTAAATGTTCTGATGTCATTTATTCTCATTTTTGGATAGAACAGCTAAAATCAATCCTATTTCAACCTGGCACGAGAAAAAAATTATATTTTCCAATCTCTTTTAACGATCTCTTTACATAAAACTGATAAAATAAAGGTCATAAGAGGGTCTTAGAGGGGTAAAGAAATTAGAAACGAAAAAAAACAAAGGAAAACAAGAAAGAGGGGGTAAGGAAAGGAAAGAAGACTAGGGAACATGAAAGTATGGCTTAGTTTAGTCTACCTAACCACCGGCTCAACATTTTGAAAAAGATCAGAGCAGAATTGAGGATGAAGGAGGCAAAACTTTTCAGGTTAAAGATCTTGGCATCTTTTCTTTCTATTAACTTTAAAAAATGGTGCACAAAGTCCATCCCAACTTCTCTATGAGCTGGGACAGTACGAAATTGATTTCGTACATAATCTATCCTTCCCTTGTACTTTTTGACTATAGAGAAATTTAAGGCAAAATTATGAAGTGCCAGATCGAGGAGGCAAATATACCACCGATAAAAAGATTATGGCATCTCCATTTCACTGGCATGGAAGAAACAATTAGAGGTATGCCCAGCATTTGATTGTAAGCCTGGTTTCAGGTACCATGGTATATCAATACCATTAGTACCCATACATAATATGGTACCCCTGGTATCGTCATTTAGAACTTTTACTGCAAGATCACTTTGATTGGAATTGTTCTTGATCATTAATGCAGGGTTCTTCATAGTTTGGAGGTAAGTGGGCATTCACTGTTTCGAAGTTGAACCATAAAATGCAATAAAGGAAACCATTGGCTTAGATTTGTGGTGCATCCTAACCTATCTTGGAGCCCACCCTGTTTTTTGCCAGGCTGCTACTAGTAGACTGACCCACAGGGGTAGTTGAGACTTTGGAATATCCTCCATTTCTTCAAAATTTGTAAGCTGAGTGACATTCTAAACGAATATCATTATTTTCTTAAATGAGCGCAAAACAAACAATTCAAGACATGTCAACCATCTCTGCCTAACTAAAAGCTCACCCAGAGAATTAAATTGTAGATGCTAGCTACACTGACATCCTATTTTAAGAGGGCATGAGCATTCCAAGCTGTCTTGCAAAATGTCTAGAGAAACCTTATACAAAGTTAGGAAAATATTAGGATGAATTATCTCAAATGGAGGGAAAAAGCCTATACATAACAGTATTAAGTTCCTAAAATTGCGACACTGCAGTCATGCAGAGAGGGAAAGTAGTTCTCTAAATTTGTGGCAGAGTAACTAGAATGCTCCAAAGAGTGGAATCCACTTCAAGGATATCAAACAAATTTGGTCTTGTACAGAGAAGATCAGCATATTCTCTGGGCGAGGACAAACATACACAGGTCCAATGACAGTGACGTGCCCATGAGAAGTTTCAGTTCTCCTAAAAGGACTGTTCTAAAGGATGAATTTTTCAGCCAGTTTCAACATCGATGAACAAGTTACACTAGCTATAATGAGCACTGCTGAAGTCATCTAAGTAATCAAAATAGGATTTTCTTTTTGTAATGATAAAATGACAATTACTACAAATATACAAATTGACCATGACTTAAGATAGCTTCACCTAGACTCAAATAAGACCCTAGCTAGCTAATTTGACTCTTATCACAACTTCAGCTTGCACCATATATGATCTAAAATGAGGGATGAAAATATATACGAAATAATTTTTAAAAATTAAAATACATGACCCGTTACAGTTAAGGAAGGTGGTGTAATTCACCTAGCAGTGCAAGGAGAGCTAGAGGAAGACCTATTATTGGTTAATCTGGTTTCATGATACACTGCCAAAAAAAAATCAATCTAATTTGTTGACAAAATTTGTAGTTATGCAAGCTTCTTTTATAGTATATTTTGCCTTCATTTGACATCTCCAAATTTGCTGATTAAAGTAGTTAATAGTAATACTTTTGCTCAGCATGTTCTTGCTGACTTCTTTTGTTTTCTACTTGCAGCTTCCAAGAAATTGGATGCATTTGCATTTCCTGCGTGCTATTGGCATTGCGATGTCCATGAGAGCTGGTGTTGCTGCAGATGCTGCAGCTGCTTTACTCTTCCGCATACTCTCACAACCTACACTGCTTTTTCCGCCTTTAAGGCATGCTGAAGGAGTTGAAGTCCATCATGAACCCCTGGGTGGTTTTATATCATCATATAAGAAACAGGTAATTCAAGATATTTTTTAATCACATTAATAGACATGATTCACCTTTTCAGTGTGTTCAAAATTTACTTTATTTTTTGTGGCTTTGCATGTTTATGATATTATTATGTGAGCTGTCTGGTTTGAAATTTGTAATTTTAATTTGCTCCCTTAAGTTGTCTTTCTGTAGCTAATGTATGTTGTTGCTGATGATAAATTTTGACTAGCTTGAAGTTCCTGCATCAGAAGCTTCTATTGAAGCAACAGCTCAGGGGATTGCGTCAATGTTGTGTGCCCATGGTCCTGATGTTGAATGGAGAATGTGTACCATATGGGAAGCTGCATATGGTTTGCTTTCTCTGAGTTCCTCCGCTGTTGACTTGCCTGAAATAGTAGTTGCAGCTCCATTGCAACCTCCTCCATTATCTTGGAATTTGTATCTACCGCTATTAAAAGTCTTGGAGTATCTCCCACGAGGAAGCCCATCTGAAGCATGCCTCATAAGGTTATTTGTCGCTACTGTTGAAGCTATACTCAGAAGAACCTTTCCTTCAGAAAGCTCTACTAAGCAAAAACGTAAATCAAGACTTCATGGAAGCATGTGGTCTGCAACTAAGAACTTTGCTATTGCAGAGCTTCATACAATGATTCATTCTCTATTTCTGGAATCTTGTGCAACAATGGACCTTGCATCCCGTTTATTATTTGTTGTGCTAACTGTTTGTGTTAGTCATGAAGCTTTACCAAATGGGAGTAAAAGGTCAACAGACTATGGTAGTTATTCTGCAGATGAATTCACTGAGGAGCCACAAGTTGTCAATGGAAGAGCTGCTAATAGAAACAAAATTCGGAAGAAACAAGGACCTGTCTCAACATTTGATTCCTATGTTCTGGCAGCTGTATGTGCATTGGCTTGTGAGCTTCAGTTGTTTCCTATAATTTCAAAAAATGGTATACATTCAGATTCCAAGAAATCTGCAAAAAGCATCAAGGCTGCAAAAACTAATGGAATTGCTTATGAGTTACATAGTACTATAAGGTCTGCTGTCTGTCACACTCGTAGAATTCTTGGAATTTTGGAAGCCCTATTCTCACTGAAGCCATCTTCTATTGGTACGTCATGGAGCTACGGTTCGAATGAGATAGTAGCTGCTGCTATGGTTGCTGCACATGTTTCTGAGTTATTTGGAAGATCAAAGGCTTGCATGAATGCTCTCTCCATTATGATGCGCTGCAAGTGGGATGTAGAGATTTCCACTAGGGCATCTTCACTTTATAATCTTATTGACAAACATGGCAAAATTGTTGCCTCAATAGTTCATAAGGCCGAACCTCTCGAAGCACAACTAGTACATGCACAAGTGCGGAAGGATGATCCAACATGTTCAAGTGGTAGAGTATCAGTTTCTACGGGCAGCAGCGCCTTTTTACCAGAGGATATCCCATGCTCAGATTCTAACTGTAGTTCATCAGGAACATTTGTAAAGGCTGGCAAAGGAATTTTATCCACTGACACTAGTATAGAGACATCAGGGAAAAGTTTTTCAAGTTTGCCGGTTGATGCTTCAGATTTGGCAAATTTTTTAATGACAGACTGGTATGTCGGTTACAATTGTGGCGCACAAACTCTACTGAGATCTGTTCTTGCAGAGAAACAGGAATTATGTTTCTCTGTTGTTTCATTGTTGTGGCATAAACTAATTGCAGCCCCGGAAACAAAAATGAGTGCAGAAAGTACATCTGCTCATCAGGGTTGGAGACAGGTATGCACCAAGTTTTTTTTATTTTTTATCCTCAGTTATTGCTATTTTAATTACATTTATTAGATCAGTCATAAAGTTTCTTATGTCTATTGTAATTTAGATGTGCTATAAACTATTCCATGAGGAACAATTTCATATATTTTAATCTGTTTATGTTCACATGCGTGTTATACTATATTAATATGATCTATTAATATAGATGTAGCTTCTAATTCTTCCAAAACTTTGTCACTATGATTCCTCATAAATGCCGTTAGATAGATATGCTTTCCCATTTTAACTGTCATGTGAGTTGCCATTCGCTTTAAGCTGAGCTTGCAGAGTTTTTGTTACCATGTATCGCACATTGTCGTTACCTGCTAGAATTGCCTACAATGTGTAACTTTTTTAAGGCAGGAAGCAGGGAGCTGTTTGATTGCACCATCACATAGATATGAATCATCTATTATGAAGTGATTTATTGACTAACCCTTCTCACTCATACCAGAATCCAGTTGTTTCCGTCATCGAGAAGATTAGACAGACTAACCAATTTTACCCTTATGCTAGGTTGTAGATGCAATTTGCAATGTCGTTCCAGCATCACCAACAAAAGCTTCAACAGCTATCGTTCTACAGGTCCAGAAATTATTTAGTTTTAAACTATTTCAGTACATAAGTTACTTATGTTTTAAATTATTTCAGCTATTGTTCAAATGCTCCCGTTTTTTCAGTCACTTTTGGAGAAATGTGTTCTTTGGGCAGGCAGAAAAGGATTTGCAGCCATGGATTGCAAGGGATGATGAGCAAGGGCAGAGAATGTGGAAAATCAACCATCGAATAGTTAAATTGATTGTGGAACTTATGAGAAACCATGAATGCCCAGAAGCACTGATAATCCTGGCAAGTGCCTCAGATCTTTTACTCCGTGCCACAGATGGATTGCTTGTCGATGGAGAAGTATGCACTCTGCCACAATTGGAGGTAATTTCAGAAGCAAACTATAAGTATAATCTCAGTATTAAAGTCCCAATCTATTGCTTAAACTGCTGGATTGTTGTTAATGCTTCAGAATAATTAGCTTGGAATCATCATAGTTGTTTTCTTTTCTTATTCAGTTTGTTCTCCTGAAGTCCCTCTTGTGTGTCTTTTCTGTTGAACAAAATCTTGAACTAACATTAGAGCTGGTTTATACTTTTGTTCTACCTATTCAATGATGAGCAGCTTCTAGAAGTGACAGCTAAAGCAGTTCAACTTGTGATACACTGGGGAGAAACAGGTCTTGCAGTTGCAGATGGCCTCGCAAATCTGCTTAAGGTAGCAGCTTCTGACTCGGCCCGCCTTTATCGCAATAAGCAAAATAATTCTAATTCTATGGCAGCCTTACAAGTTACATCGAACAACATTTGCAGTGCCGTTTATCATCAACGGTCCGTTGCCTTTCTCATCCAAGTGCACATGTTCGTGCTCTCAGCACATCAGTTCTTCGGGACATATTGCACAGCAGCCCAACAACCATATCCAGCGGTTGTTTGAACGTGGATGGCCAGCGCAATTGCAATTCATCTTACCACTGGCAGGCAGACATGGAGAAATGCATACAATGGGAGGCTCAGAGCAGACTTGCGACTGGTCTAACGCTTGCTTACCTTTGTGCCGCTGCAAAGGAATTAGGCTGCCCCATCGATTGTTGAGGAGCTGCAGCAAAGTCCCTGATGCGACAGCCAAGCTCTGAAACCATCATATGTTTAATATTACGTGGTTAAACTTGCCAATGCATCGTACTTATTATGCATGTTTATGGTTTGGAAAACGGTTGTCAACTTAACAAATGTCGTGTTTTCTTCCGCTATATCTGATTGTTGCCACCGGGTGTCTTCGATCTACAAACAGACGGGGAAGAACTTTATAAAGCTGGGCATGCTTGCAGGTTACGGTCTCTTGTGGTTATGAGGCTTCGGTTCCCCGTTTCTTACTGTGGATACGAAGCGCCCCCCTTAATTATATCTGTATGGAGATTATATCAGCATCGGCAGTTGACATCATTTTCGATAATTCGATCCCTTCTCCGGAAGATGATGGAAAGGATTGGATGAAGTGGCTGGCTCATGTCAGGGTGGTGAGTGGTGACGAGTGCATATTTTTGTTCTTTTATATAAAATCCGGGTCAGTACAATTATATAAATAACGTAACATTTGTTCTTTTAACAACTATTTCTCCTGCGCTAGGGCTTTTTGGTTTGAGCGACACCAGACACGTCGCCTCTCCCACGCTTCCCGCCCGTTGTTGCCAGTGTCCCTGTCGCCAGTTCGGGTACGTCTTCTCCCACATCTTTTCCTCCTTCGCCTCTTCTTCTTGCTGTTGCCCTTTTTTTTTTATTTGTTGATGTTCTTCTTCCTCCCCTGATAGTAGTACAGTACATTTCAACATACTGCTGTTTATCGGTACGTACATTGGAACTTGACAGATTTATACAGCTCCGGCCATGCACCAACGGCTGCCGAAATTACAAACCTTGCCAAGAAAGTATATTTCAAGATATATTCTACGTGTCTCGTCTCGAATAATCATACTCTTAAGTCATACCAGGCATCATCATCTACGTGCTTAAAAGGGATGAAAAACAATATGAGGAAATATTCCTTTATCGCTATGCTTCTCGGGGTCACAGTATTATGGACTTAAATTGGTTTTTTATCCCTCTAACCATTCTGATTATATCTCTTTCTATAATTAAACCCCTCATATGATTCATTATTATTTACACTCAGAAATTTTTTCTCGGTGATACATAGACATCATATGTTGATGATTAAATGCTTTCATCCGATATAAAATTCGATCTATGCATAGAAAACATGTCTTTACGATATCATGATATTCATTTTTTAAATCCATAATCCTTTTTATCATCATGTTATTCTTTGAAATAGAGCTCTTAGTAGCTCCCGAACATATCTCCATGTGATCAAGTTCCTCGTAGGACTTCTCTCGTGTGTGTCGTATTGTCTCAAACTATTCCACCATGATCAATTATATTATGTCACCTCTTAGTGATATTTTTATTACATTCTAATCTTTATGAGATGAACTCGAACTGCGCTCTCTCAAGGAGTGGCCTTTGCCAGTACATCATCGGGCCTCTATCACCTTTAATTGTATTTGCTCATTTAGCAATTGACTTTCATCGATTCGCTCTTGAGTCACACCTAGACAAATCACAACTATAGGGTAATCCATCGTCTAGTAGCTCTTGAAGTCTATTTACTTTGTTAAAATTGACATGTCATTATCTGGATCCTGACCTTTGCCTCCTAGCACATGTAGGAAAATCTAGGGGCGACATCATATGCACAACGGAAGAACAGAAAACAAAAATCTCAAATTTTCCAAAAAAAGGTGTTCGTCGTCGTGCGAAGATTGATGGGCAAAATCTGCGAAACTTAAAACCACGCGTGAGATAATTGTGTTACCTAGGAAGATCGTATATCCCTGAATCCCACAGATCTGTAGGAGACGGTGAAGGAGGTTAAGCGTCATCTTCTCTAGCGGTGATCCACACAACAGGGCTATGACAACGCTCCTCAAATCTCTAGCCTATGAGTCATTGGTTCCCTCCTATTTATAGAGGTCCCCTATCAACTTAGCCCTAATGGATCCTGCCCTATTGGGTGTTGGATCTCCATCCAACTACTTAATCTTCTTAGATTAGTGGATCTCTATCTAATATTCTCTCAATAGCTTTTATTGAATCTCATTCATAGGATCTAATAATTCAGGGGCTTTTTGAATATCCAATAAGATAGGGACTCCGACAGATATCTCATATCTAAACATCTATTCGTCGCAATACCTATCATATGTGTGTGACCTTCTAGACTCAATATCGAGCTGGCAGTGAGTCATACTTGTCAGAACTCCTTCTTGCTCAGTAAATTATTATCTCCATAATAATTCACTCGACTCATCGACTACATACGTACTAGGCCACTGCACCACAATCCCCAAACGATATAGGGGAATCCAATTATTTGGATCTATCTATCCTTAGTTACCGTGTATCTATAGTCCCTCATTCATTTCATACGTCAGAGATCGTATACCGGGCATGGTATTGTCAAGTTCATATAGTTTTTACTCGAGTCTCACTCTGATCAAATTCTTTCTCTATTAATCCGAATGACCTTGGCTAGGGATTTGTTTGAGCAATAACACATGAGATATTCCTCTCATGATATCAAGGGCGGATGATCCTCTATCGATACTCAATAGCCCTCGTAAGGTTGACTACAATTCCCGATGGCCGGTTGTGCTAGATTTTAAACTTTCATACCTATAAGTCCGGTATCAAAGAGTGGAGTACTCATACAGGACATCCTTAGTGTCTCAAGCTTAATGGTCATATACACTATTTG